CATCAGTCTGGAAATTGGCGACTCGCCCACCAGATTTCTGCAGCTTCCAGTTTGTAATCATGAAACGCGAACAAAACAACCTCTCTGCAGGGGCGCCTCTTGTCAGCAGGTTGCTTATAGTCGAGTTCTGATGTGAGGTTGCTCGAATATTTGTAAAGTTAATTTCACACCCACAGCGCATTTGATAGTCCTGTTTTTTTTTGTTTTTTTTTTGTTTGCTTTTCGCTTGGCAACCATGGGGTCCAGTTCTAGCGCTCTCTATATACAATGAATAAGTATATAAATGCATATGGCGGAGCTCTTTTAATTGGGCGGAGGCTTACGCCATCTGGACCAAGCTTTTAACTTCATTGGCTAACTACATTTCGTTTTCACATATCGTCCAGACGAAGCCGACGCTACGAGCTAATAGGACCAACCAGAGATGGTCAAAAGCGCACCATCATGGTGTTATTCATGTTTCTTTACTTGTTTTGTCACCGCTGAATCAATCGTAAACAGCTGAGGCCCAGTGATTTCCGCGTTTGATGCTGCTTGATTGGTACCATTACCTCGTAGCGTCGGCTGTGTCTGAACTTAAGCAGAGACGAAGTGTGATTCCTGACTTAAAAAATATTCCTGCATTAATATATATATATATATATATATATATATATATATATATATATATATATTGTAGGGTTCGGTGCTACTGCTCACCCGCAAGAAGGACCAACGAGGCAGATCTCCGAAAAAAACAGACCTTTACTTTCTGGTGGCAGTCAACCGACTGCCCAGCCCCCCGAGCCTCGAGCGTGGCTCGCGCGCACGTTGCGCGCCGGGCGCGGAGCACAGGTTCTTTTGCCCAATGATGGGCCGCAAATCCCCCAAACTTCCCCCCCCCCCTCCCCCCTTCTCTGTCATCTGGCTCCGTGGCTGTTCTCTCTGGTTGTTGGTGGTAGAGGAGGAGGGGGTTGTCACGATGCAGGCGGCTGGATGCGGTTCGTGGAGGCCGCCTCCGGATTGGTGATGCGGTCGTTGCAGTTGCCCATGAAGTCCTTGAAGGGCGACGTACTCTCAGGATGCTTAAAGGTCCTTGCTCACTCCTTGGCAAGGTGATCCTCCATCTGCTCGATGGCACGGCCGTTCCTGTTCTTCGAAAACTTGATCTTGACGACATTGTTATACAGGCAGTGCAGATTGAAGAGCTTCTCGGTGTTCATCTTGTCAGAGTTGAGCACCATCACCATAGACCCCTGATTCTGGTCCGCCGCTTAAGGACGAGTGGGCACGTCCGGAGCCGTCGCTGGTAACGTCGGGTTTTGGTGGACCTTGGTAGCGGTCCTGGTCTCCATTTGTTTGTCCCGTAGCCGTCGTTGTAGCCGCTGCCGGGGCTGCTGATCTGGCGGCGTAGCTAGGGCCGGTAGAGGGTCCTCGGCCGCCCACTGCGTTGCCGTAGTCCCCGAAACCACGTGGCTCATCGAAGGGGTTGAGAGAACCTCCGGCAACGGTTGAGGCGGTAGCGAGACATGTCGAAGGTTCGAAAAGAACGAAAGGAAAAAAAAAGAATCAACAGTTGTCTTCTGGAGAGACTTCTACAAGAAAGCGTCGGTACGTTGGGCGCGGCAATAGACTGGCTAAATTTGCGAGCACACTGTCGGTGTATATCGCACAGAACTACGCGCACAATCTGTATGGTGCGGAAACTAGTTCTCGTCAAAGCCTAATGCAACGCGCATTTTCTAAGTCTTCGTCTTCGTCTTCGTCACCAACATCAAAAAGAGTCCTCGCAGAATTAAGTTTATTTTTAATTATAACCCGGATCGGCATCACTCTCCACCTGCGAGAGAACTTCGTCATCCGATTCATAATACCGTTTGAGGTTGGTGACATGAACGGGTCCAGCGAGTCGTCCAGACTCACAATGAACGAGCGTGTACGTGAGGCGTGAGACCTTGTCTCGCACTCGATACGGACCATCCCACCTGTTTGCCAGGGAAGCTGTGAAACCTCTGGAGGCGTCACTAAGTGGGTGTGTCCGACGGAGTACAAGATCTCCAACTTCGAATTGCACGTCCCGGTGGCCACGATTGTACTGCTCAGCCTGCTGAAGCCGTGCGGCGTCCAAGCTCTCCCGGGCATCACGAACGATGTCCCTGAGTCTGCGTCGTAGGCTTCCTGCAAACTGACCGTATGAGCGAGCAGCACCACGGTTGTTGGTCGTGCAAGTGTTTTCCAGCGGGAAAGTCAGCTCTTTTCCGAAATTAAGGCAAGCTGGAGTAAAACCTGTAGACCGGTTAACGGTTGTGCGAGTTGCGAACGCGAGCTCTGGGAGCTTTGCGTCCCAGTCAGGGTGACATTCGGTGTGAGCTATTAACATGGATTTCAGGTTTCGGTTCACCCGCTTTGTGATGTTTGCCTGTGGGTGATAGGGAGACGTCCGCTTGTGTTGTATGCCCAATGCGGCACATGAGTCTCGGAACACTTTGCTGGCAAAGTAAGTAGCGTTGTCGCTAATCAATTTCGCCGGAAATCCGAAGCGTGTGAACGTCTCCATCAGACACGACCAGATTTTCTTGGACGTCAGCGACCGTAATGCAAATAGCTCCACCCACTTGCTAAAGTGATCCGTGACAACCAACAAGTACTGGTTGCCACGCGGACTGCGTGGGAAAGGGCCCATGACGTCGACAGCAACGCATTCCCATGGGGATCGACTCACGACTGGCTGCATGAGACCAGGGGGCTGACCACCGCGCGGTTTGGCTTTCTGACAAACCGGGCATGAACGAGCGTACCTGAGCACGTCCTGACGAATTCCTGGCCAAGTTGCAGTACGGCTTAACTTTTCAAAAGTCTTGCAGCCACTACTGTGACCAGCCAAAGCAGAGTCATGGTAGTATCTAATGAAGGACGTGCGAAGTCGGCGAGGTATCACGGCTCGAAATGGAGTGTCTGTGGAGCCACCCTCCTCGTCGTCGATCTGAGGTATGTACCGGAGAAGCAGACCGTCTTCGGCCAGCAAGTACGAGTCAAAACCCATGTCAGCGTCTCTGTTGCCACGTCGGTCACGTGAAGATAACCACTCAGAGACCCTGCGACAAAGTCCATCGTTCTGCTGTGCAGCACGAAGCTCATCTCGGCTAATCAAAGTACCCCAGCGCGAGCCAGCATCTATCGCAGCCACAACATTGGCATCCTCGAGCACGCGCTCTTCGCCGAGCGGAGCGCGCGACAAAGCGTCTGCAACTTTGTTTTGTGAGCCTGGTTTGTGCACAATAGTGTAGTCATATTTTTGAAGCGTTAGTGCCCAGCGTGCTAATCGTCCTGCCGGATTTTCCAGCCGCTGAAGCCAAGACAAGGCGGCATTATCCGACTGGATCACAAAGCGCGCGCCATCAAGATACATGTTGAATTTCTGCAGGGCGAATATGATGGCTAGGCACTCAAGCTCGCAAACGTTGTAATTCCGCTGAGCTGCTGTCAACGTATGGCTAGCAAACGCTACGGGTCGTAAGACACCATCAAAGTCTTGAAGCAGCACAGCACCTAAACCGTAGCCGCTCGCATCGGTTTGCAGCACAAACGGACGGTTGAGGTCTGGGAGCTTCAAAGATGCTGTCTCAGCAATAGCTCTGGACAGTTGAAGGAAAGCATTTTGCTGTGCCTCCGTCCAACGCCACTTGACGCCTTTGCGCAGCAGTTCGTTCAGAGGCCGCGTTATCTCTGCACAGTGGGGAATAAACTGGCGGTAAAATCCAACCATGCCAAGAAATCTCTGCAAACTCTTTGCATCATGTGGGGGAGGAAACTCAGTTATGGCCCTCAGCTTGTCCTCATTAGGGCGAAGCGATCCATCGTCGATTACAAAACCGAGTAGGTTAATCTTAGATGTTGCCAGTTGCATTTTTCCCGGGTGAACTGTCAAACCAGCATTCTGCATGCGCTCAAGTATAGTCCGATGGTGCACAAGATGTTCTTCAAACGTGCGTGAAAAGACTACTACGTCATCCATATATGCCATGGCGTAGTTGTGCCGTGCGTCTCCAAGCACAATGTCCATAAGACGCTGGAATGTGGCAGGAGAGTTGCTCAAGCCGAAAGGCATGCGCACAAACTCGTACAACCCTCTGTAGCATGTGAATGCTGTTTTCTCAATGTCAGCGGGCTCGACCTCTATCTGGAGGAAACCGCGACTGCAGTCAAGAGTCGTGAAAAAACTCGCGTTTCCCAAGTTGTACATGATCGACTCAATCGAGGGGTACGGGTAGGCGTCACGAACGGTTACCGCATTCAGGCGCCGGTAGTCGACGCAAAGCCGAGCCGTTCCATCCTTCTTGGGGGCAAGGACGATCGGGAAGGCCCAAGGGCTCTGTGACTCACGTACTGATCCCCACGTTGGGCGCCAAATAATGTAGGGTTCGGTGCTACTGCTCACCCGCAAGAAGGACCAACGAGGCAGATCTCCGAAAAAAACAGACCTTTACTTTCTGGTGGCAGTCAACCGACTGCCCAGCCCCCCGAGCCTCGAGCGTGGCTCGCGCGCACGTTGCGCGCCGGGCGCAGAGCACAGGTTCTTTTGCCCAGGGCCGCAAATCCCACAATATACATATATATATATATATATATATATATATATATATATAAGACTTATGAGACGGTGTCGGATTTTCGTAAGCTTATGCATGCCCCTTCCGCAAAACGAATTGAAAGAAAAAATAGCAACATAGCTTTATTATTTTTTTTGGATTATATGCCACCAGTACAATAACTTGTGCGTTGTGGTTTCCACTTTTCAAACCTCCACACTTTCAATAATATTGACACCGGTCGGATAAAAAAAGAAAATTACCGGAGTGTAAAGTGGCATAATTTTTAAGCAAAGAGGTATACAAAGACCATGTCATTTCCCCCAATGTGTCACTTTTTTTTAGGTTTACCTTTGTGTAAACATGGGCGCCTCACGCGTGCGTCATTTGATCGCGCGTGCCTAATGAATTTTTATGCCTCTCTACCCGCAGATATGGAGACGTTGCCGGAGTTTGCCGAACCGGTTCCCAACGTGACGGCCATTGTGGGTCGAACGGTGAAGCTACCCTGCGTGGTCAACAACCTGGGACAGTACAGGGTGAGTCGCTCACTCGTAGAGTGCGCGACAACGCCTGCGCGAAGACGACTTTGGCGATTCTTTTACGGCGGGGCTGTTAAGCGCTAGTTTCCCCAGGATCGTGTCCGTCCTCAAATGAGCTGATGACACAAAACTCTGGACAGCTACCGCCATCTATGAGCGACGGCGGCAACCTGACAACGATTCTCTGGATGACGCCTTTGCTCATAGATGGCGGTGGCGCTGCTGTCGGTACTGCGCATGCGCAGACGCTTCGCTCCTCCCGAATTTGATTTTTGCGCACGCGGAGTGCCCGCACCTGGTATGGGGAAGGCGGGCTTGTTTGTAAGCACTGTGTTGGTGTATACGTATCACGACGCTGTTGGCACGTAAAAGTGGAACGATTTCTTTTATAACTAAAAACAAAAAAAAAATCATTATCAAAAGTAGTATTGTTATTTGATGAGTCCCTTAGGAAAACAAATGTGAGGGGTAAAAGAATGTTGTGCTCCTGTATACCCTGCTTGAGCAAATTTTAAGTTTAACGCCTTACCTTTCGTTATTTTTAGCTCTAGTTCTGCTAACACATATGAATTAATTACAAATAAAAAAGTGCAAATTGATTAAAGATTAACGCAAGAACTGTGGTGGATACTTCTGGTTCTTAGGACAGCTGGAAAGAACTCTTAGGAGAAATTAAGTTGGTTTAAGTTTGAAGCAACAGTCACGGTGATGCTGAACAATTTTAATAAAGTTAATGTCCTCGTTTTTTTTTTCTTTTCTTTTTAAGCAATTTTGGCTTAAATTTATATGAAATATAAGTGCACAAAAGACAGCCAATTAAAAGGGTGGAAGTCCGACCAATCCCTAATTAGGGACCCGACATTTCGAGGTCTACTCGGTCTCTTCTTTAATGGCGCTTGCGTCGATGGCCGTTGAGGAGCAGCGTTTTTGTTGTTGCTGTTTTTTTTTTGTTTTTTTTTTCTAATATGATTTAAGGGTGGAATGGGGCTTTTGGGTGATTTGAATCCCCCTAGTAGCCAGCGCACGTACCAGCACTTCGCTTGTTTTTTTAGTATATTTGGGAGTCTGATTCGCCTGGTTGAGCGAGACTGCGTACTGGCCTGTGGCTGCAGCTTTGAATGACTTTGGCTCACACGACGGCCAGTACGGTGGATATGAGGAAAAGTCATCGACACCTTCAGCCGCAGACGAGTACGCCGTCCCATTCAACCACACGGATCAGCGCTTTATATATATATACACGGAGTAAGCTAAGCGCTTGCACGTGTTCTTGCTAGAGAAAGGATCCAGACGGGCCACGAGCCAGTATCGACACTTGGCCTGCTTATGCCAGGACCAAAACGTCGGCCCCCCTTTCAAAAGCGATCGCGAGTCGTTGTGTACAGGATTCCCTGCGCGGATTGTCCGGCGCGTATATTGGCGAAGCCAACAGGTTCAGTAGAGGATCAGCCATCACCAAAACGACGTTCGCAATTTTCGATCACGAGCGTTACGCGGTCGCTGAACGCTGCGACGTAAAGGACCACCCGACTCACTTCAAGAACAACCGCATCTTCAGCGTTGAAACTAAGCACAGACATATACTTAAGTTTTTAACTATTATGACACACTTAATCTACGCCAGAAAAAATCGATAGGTCTTTGGCGCTTTACCATCTGCCTACGTCGAGCGGCTTCGCAATATCACCAGACCACGAAGAAAGGCATCATTATAGAAAAAAAAACATTACAAACTAATGATCCTCGATGGCCATCGCCAGAGTAACTCCTGAAGAAGAAGCGTCGAAACGTCGGGTTCTAAAATGGAGCTTGGCCGGACATCCATCCCTTTCAATTTGTCTTGTACCAACCAGAGAGTCATCCGTAAAATGTCCACGTTAATGTCTGATAATAATGAGATTATCACAGTAATCAAACTCACCGTACATATATGCTGTATTTTTTTATGATATTGTTAGACTAAGCAATAGAGTAGTGTCTACTGCTTTTATACAATATTACTTTGATTCACTTGAAATTTAGGTATTCTTGGTTCAATTAATGTAAAATCAAACTTTGTACGGCGTAGTGAGCATGTATGCTACCCGAATAACAGGCTTCTTTGTGACTGTGACCCAGTTTCGTGTGTTTGTTTCACCGCTATACGTATCGACTTACGAAGAAGCCACCCTTCAGTTGTTCGCCCTCTTGTGCCTGGTCCGGCGGAGGTGGCGCGTCCATTCACGTATACATTTCAAGGCACTTTCGTCACGCTGCTATGGAGAGTTATCGCATAGGATACCCATCCACTCTTATATAATCATAGTTTTCATTGTTCCTGAAAAGTGCTCTGAAATATGTTTAATAAAGTAGGTTTTCTGCTTTCATTCTTAGTGCTCGCACTTTGGATGACACAAAACCGTAAATTTATATTTAAAAAAGATTATACTCTTAGGCATTAGTATGCAAGCCAGACTCCGAATCAATAAACATTCAAACTGCCTTTATCTGAATTTTTTTTTTGTAATTAATTTACGACTTTCACGCATTGCGTTCGTAAAGAGGCGAGTTAAAAAGTTATCTGAGGTTATTTACTTGTTTGTTTTATTTTGGACTTTCGCGACTCTCTTCTCGATGCATATTCAAGAAGTCTGCCGAAGTTCCCAGGGATCGATTCATCGCATAGTTTTGAGAGTCGCGCAGTCGCTTCAACTTCCATAATCTGCATCCTCTGAAGCAAGGGCACTGGTTCGCGTTGCTTTATTTGGAGAAAAAAAAAAAAAAAAAAACGACCCACTATGACAATCGTAATGTTAAAAAATTTGCATACACGATCGGCGAACATTAGCATAACTGCGGAAACAAAAAAAAAGAAAGAGAGAAAAAAAAAACGGAAATTAATTCCCGAGTTAGCTTTCTAAGCCTATCGTTTCCCCTTACACACTCTTCTCAAATATGTCGTTTTTATTCGTGTTTCTTGTTTTCGTTCGTTTATGAAGCGTACAAAAATGAACCTAATTTTGCGGTACAAATTAATATTATTTTTTGCTCTCTCCGCCTAATGAAAGAAAACGATAGGCTCGGAGCGTGGAACAATGACTCCGAAGTGCGGCATAAATTAAATTTTCTGAGAGCGTTGAAAAATGTAAATATCGAGAATGGGGCGACGGAAAATGTGGAAAACAATTCAAAATGACGGTTGGATGCGAGAAGATATAGTGTTGAGTGCGTGCCCACTCACCGTGATAATTTCAGGCAGGCAAATGAGATTGGCTCTGTTCTTTTCCCCTTAGCTCGGAATACTTTCATTCTCTGTTTCATGCTTCTCCCGCGCATAATTTTGGACGTTCCTCTCAGCGTGTGCTCGAGAGGTCTGTGTTGAGAGTAATGCGAGGTCTCTTTAATTAAGAGTGGAGCTTAATGCCGCTATGGATATGTATATATATTATAAATATCCTTGATTAAACACGACTCGGGTGTTTTGGCTTTCTAAAACCATGCAAAGGGTCCTTTTTGTTTTAGAAAAAAAAAGTTTTTATTTAATTTACCCAATACGGCTTGCCCTGATGTACGGCTCGAGTTAATACGTTATTTTAATTTTCGTGGTAAAACAATTTTTTACTAGTTTCATTCAGTTATATTTTTTTCGGCGGTGATGTAAGAAGTAGAAAGGAAGTAGAAGTTTTGTGTTTTAATTTAAAACTTGTATGTTTGTTTCTTCTGTTGACTGTTTAAGTTATTTTGTTGCGTATGTTTTGGTCTGAGCCAGAGTTACCGTCTTATGAAAATTAAAAACAATTATTTTAAGTAATCACTCTTCCCGGCGTAGACGGCCGTTGCCTTTGTTTCTTGATGTTCGCAATCTTGTACCGTTTCAAGTTTATTGAAAAAAGTGTTTCGTCAATGCAATGCTTCGTTATCTTCATCCTGATCCGTAAAAATGATTTCATCATTGAGATGAGAGCCGGCTCGTGTAACAATGCTACAGGCTACATTGTTTAAGTACTGCAATTGGTATGTATGAGAAGGCGAATTGAGTTCATTGATAGTTTAGCGTACTTTCCATAAAATAAGCTTGTGGCGTCCGAACAAACTCGTGGAACTTAACGATAAACATTAGTTTAACATTACCATCTCTCTCTCCACCCCTTAATATTTCAAGTTATTGTTTATTAAAAAAATATTTTCATATTTCCATCTGACACAATCAAATGATACCTCTTCCCTTTTACATTTTGTCCCGTGTTGATAACAAGCATAAAGTTGGACTTCCAAGCTCGCTAAGAACTGCATTTTACAAGTCCTTTCTTCTTCGCAGAGCACGAGAATAGAACCACCTCCCCGGTTTAACTGCTGCCATCACTGACCCTAATTTATTTCAAAATGCTATCACTAACCATTTTGTTTTCAATAGATTCACAACCTGTTTGATCGTTAGTTTGTTCAATTATTACTGCCGCTAAATTGTAACAGTTTCTCTTCCTATCTTTTTTTCGCCTGCTCTCCCCCTTTATAATGCCACCAGGCCCCGAAGCATGTTCAATAAATAAACTAATAAATATTCACCGAAGATGCACTTTTCAATATTGTTGCTTAGAATAAAAAGCTTTAAAGAACATATTTACAAGTTAGGCTGCAATGCCACCCAAAAAAACAAATACCGTAAGAGAATTGCGCGTTGATAACATTTTTACAGCAAGATGTCTCTGTCTTTAAAGTAGGCCGACACTAATACAGCACTTCAAAGGAGTTTGTGCGGTTCGACTGCCAAGCTGGGGGTTGGGAACTCCACTGCGCAGTCGACTTAGGCTACTGTACTCCGCTGCAAAGCCCACTCCTAACACTTGCTTCAGACGACATGTTTTATGGACGTTTGGCAAGGCAGAATTCCTGTGCAGACTACCTTTGAAAAGTGCATAATAAAATGAAAAAGGCGGGGGGGGGGGGGCGATCTGTTTAAAGTGTTCTCAATTTACGTAATGTAGTCGTTAAAACAGCGCAGAGGACGAGGGACCAGA